TGTTGCGAGAATGTGACGGCTTCGTTGGCTGGAGTTTGTCCTGCTGAACCCCAGGTTCAGCTGCACTGTCATCCTCCCCAGAACCCTAGACTAATATAGTGGTCGGAGTAAGTACCACGAATAATGGTATTCCCTCAGGGTCTCTTTATAAATTCTGTGTATTCAGGCCCCTCCCCAAACCCCAAATCCATTCGGGGCAACGCAGGGCAGATTCGCGGATGACCAGCCAAAAAGATGCCAAAATCTAAATGCACGGCTCGCCGTTCAACAGAAAATGAGATGCGACCGCAGCCTACAGAGACTATATATTCATGCTTCTACTTAAACCTAGTTCCTACGCCAGAAGTTTTGATTACTTGCCTCAATGTTTGGTTTGGAACTCGTGTCTGTGCTTGAAAACACACACCTACCGCAATGCGGGCCTCTTGACTGGGAAAATGGATGTCCCAATAATTATCCTGATTATCCGGTGCATGTTGGAACTCTGTCAGGCACCAAAACTCCCAAAAACGAAGTAACTGAGAATGCTTATTTCCTACTAAGACATGGGACGACTTCTCGATTTTCCGATCAAGAGAAAAGCAGGATTTCTCTTCTGTTTTTTTTGAGTAAGAGATGATACAATGCTAGATGATACCATGCTATCAAGTTGCCGGTGTTTTTTAGGCATTCTTGATATAAAGAGTCGTGACAAGTATTGCAGCTGCATTTCGACATCCTTTCCTGCTTCAGCAGATGTGATTACATTCATGGAGTGTAGTGTTAGGCCTAAGAATAGTAGTGTCAGAAGCAGGCGTGGAGTCCCATTTGTAAGTTAGCGAGTTGGGTTTTCCGGTATCAGTGCATAAGTAAAGTCATGAATTTATTGAACGTTCCCCCCCCCCCCCCCCCCCCCCGCACTGGCTCAAGTCTCAAACACTTCAGATAGACGAGTCCAAAAGCATCTTGTTTGAGCGTCCGGTTTAGGGTTTAGGGTTTAGGGTTTAGGGTTTAGGGTTTAGGGTTTATGGTTTAGGGTTAGGGTACATGCAGGTGTTTTTTTAATTGATCGACGGAGTATATGTCTTGCAGATGGGCTTTGCAGTCAGGACGCATGGTTTGCACTGAAGCTGGGGCGAGAGGTCAGATAAAGGTCAATTGCAACCCAACTTCCGCAACAACTTTGTGACAGCTGGACTTTGCAAGCAACCACTGTTGGGAGCTTCATCAAGCTTGTTCGTCAAACTTGGCACTATAGTGCTGGCAGTGTAGCCCGCATGGACTTCCAGTCGCAACGCAAGCTTCCGTCTATTTGCTTAAGAGCCCAAAAGAATCTTAAAAAAAAGAACAGCAATCCCTATATTGCCCTTATTTTGGAACCAGATGTTTTCGGGGTTTCATAAGCAATTGGTAGCTTCGCAGCTGGGCTTCGCTAGCTGCAGCTATGGATTTGCCCGATTTGCCCGGCATGGTTGACTTGCCTGGGTCTTGGGAAACACCGGGTGCAAAGATTCTGGCGAGGGTTTTTTCGCCCGCCAAAGCCACAATTTCCTAAGCATCCTGTCAGGTGTAGGTACACGCACCAAGGGCGTCAGTCAGAAAGCACAAGCGGGGAACTTTACAGTTCTAGGGGCAGCACTTGGAGACGCTTCTTTCCACCCCGAATGTTTTAGAAGTGAATGCCACCCCTAAACCTTAAACGCGAAGTCCTAAACCCTAAACCCTAAACCCTGAACCCTAAACCCTCAACCCTCAACCCTCAACCCTCAACAACCCTCAACCCTAAACCCTAAACCCTAAACCCCAGGCTGTGGACGGAACTCCCCCCCCTCCTCGCTCTAAGGCCCAATGGGCCACTGTCCGATGCGCAGATTCAAGCCCTTGCTGAGGCGCTTTCCCCGTTAGGGTTTAGGGTTTAGGGTTTAGGGTTTAGGGTTTAGGGTTTAGGGTTTAGGGTTTAGGGTTTAGGGTTTAGGGTTCAGCATCTCCAGTTCAAGCATTCACTAGTCAAGCTCGCTACTCTGGTATCGAATATATACCCACCCACCCTTTGGATCCCATAACATTAGAAAAATATTTTGGTTTTTAACGGACCCAAAACCCGAAATCTAATCTAAGGCCCACAATAGGCCCTTTATGCTCTTAGGGCTCTAAACCCTACGGTTTAGAAGCCCCTATTGGTGAAGGCTCGGTTTTGGTCAAAAATCCAGAAAACGAGAGCCCACCCAGAACCGTCGATCTTAGTACTAAAAAATAGCATTTTTAACTGGGACCCGGGCCGATCCTGGGGTCCCTCCCCCTCATTTGGGGTGTTTTTGGAAGCAAACTTTCCCTCTCCTTCATCAGAACTGAGGGTCAAAAACCCTGAAATATCCTGAAAAACATTGAAAAACCGTGAAAAACACTGAAAAGCTCTGAAAAAAAACCTTGAAAACCGTGAAAAACTTGATATTCTGAAGCCGGTGAAGGCTCGGTTTGGTCAACAATCCAGAAAACGAGAGCCCACCCAGAACCGTCGATTTCAGTACTAAAGAATCGCATTTTTAACTGGGACCCGGGCCGATCCTGGGCTCCCCCTCATTTGGGGTGTTTTTGGAGGCAAACTTTCACTCTCAAGGGGGGGGTCGGAGTTTGAGGCAAGGGGGGTCTCCGAAGACTAGTTTGCCTTTAAAATTGAAAATTGCGACCCCCCCTTGACCAAAACTAGGCTGTGAAAAGGTCGCAGGGGATCAGAATTGAAGGTTAAAAGCCTTGAAATATCCTGAAAAACATTGAACAGCTTTGAAAAACTCTGAAAAACCTTGAAAAACAGCGAAAAACTTGAAATTCTAAAACCGGTGAAGGCTTGGTTTGGTCAAAAATCTAGAAAACGAGAGCCCACCCAGAACCGTCGAATTCAGTACTAAAAAATCGCATTTTTAACTGGGACCCCCTATTTTGGGGTGTTTTTGGAAGCAAACTTTCCCTCTCAAGGGGGGGTCGGAGTTTGAGGCAAGGGGGAGTCTCCGAAGACTATTTTGCCTTAAAAATTGAAAAATACGACCCGTTCTTGACCAAAACTAGGCTGTGAAAAGGTCGCGGGGGCGGCCCTTCATCAGAATTGAGCTAAAAACCTTGAAATATCCTGAAAAACATTGAAAAACCTTGAAAAACACTGAAAAACTCTGCAAAACCTTGAAAAAACTCAGGGAAAAGGAAAATCACCGTTGCCCACTTTTGAATTCGGGTTTAAATTCATTATGATAGAGAGGTTTAGGGTTTAGGGTTGAGGGCTTAGGGCTTGCGGTTTAGGGTTTAGGGTTGGGTTTAGGGCTCAGGGCTTAGGGTTTAGG